TCTGAGAGGAAAAGCAGTAGAAAAGTCAGCTATCTTGTCTGCACCTATTTAACTGACTGCCTTGTTGCTTAGTGTTCTTGGTAGGTATGTAGGGAATGTATTTCCTTGTGGGTTTTTTGATTGATTCTTCTAAATCTATTTGAGGATGTTATTGTCTGGAGGGGGCAGCTACTGAGAAATGGTTACAAAGGCTGTCGGTGATCATCTTGGAATTTCTTGAGCAGCCCTAATTTCATTCATTAATGAGATATTAAAAGCTGTCTGTATTAGTGTCTATCCAAAATGGAACAGATGGGGTTAATAAATCAAGGATTAGGTCCTTAATCTGCACCAGCACTGCTAGAAATGTAGATTTTTTTTTTTTGTCACATGCTAAAAAAAGGAATAATGGACAAACATGAGGATTTTCATCTCTCTCGGAAGCCTTCTCTTAACCATGCTTCCCTGGCTTCCTTTCAGCTGATGCAGTGAACCTGAGGATCAGGTGATGACTTAGAAAAATGGTCTCGTTATCCTGGAAATGAAGAGCTCAGGTGCTGGTAAAACTGTTGGGTAGCTTTTTTTATTGTGTTGTGATTCCAGAGTTAGGTTTGTGTTCTCAGAGAATCGGGTTTGTTAACTCTTGGCTAGATGCTCTCGTATGTCCATAGCATCTTGCGTGGGCATAGCCAGGCTACTCAGATCGGTGTCAGTGAAAGGTTATGCGTGATGCATTTGATTTTTGCATTCCTCTGGGAATGTGGGTGGGAGCTGTGTCCGACTGCTGCCAGGCTGGGCCCCGAGAGGCTGATGAGTACAAGAAAGTTGTGCTGGCTTCCTTGAGAGGAACTGCATGGTAATTTGAAAAATAAAACATTAAAGGGGTTTTGCCTAAACTGAGCCTCTAATGGTTGATTGGTTTGTTTTTTTTTTTCCCGGTTATTTCAGTATACACGTGCTTCTTTTTATGGGTGCAATGAAACTGGTCTCTGCTTTTTCCCAGGGTCCTACTTAAGCGGTGGGCATGACGCAGGGATAGCAAAAGGTGACCGAGGTACTTCTGCTGGTGTTAGAGCCATCTGCCTTCATCAGCTAGAGATACAGCAGAGAACTCCTGTTGGATCAGTGCAGGTGATGACAATATCACTGCCTGGAACAGCAGTGACCTCTTGTGGGTAGCGAGGATGGCTGGGTCTGCCGGCAGTTGGCAGTCGGAGTCAGAGGACGTTATTTGGTTGTAATTATGTCTGTGGCCTTGAAGTGGATGTGGTAAAGGGAGCTCGGATTCTCTTGGCTAGGCAGCAGAAACAAACAGCTCTAAATGGTGCGAAGTCTCTTCTTCCTCGCGTGCGTGAGCTCTGAAGCCATGATGTGAAATAGTCCCCGAATTGTTCAGGAGCCCTGGTGAACCCAGAGCCAGCCTTCGAGCACATCAGGGGAGGAAGAGTGAGACAAGAACTTTTTGCTCGTCTACTTTTCCTGTGCAGTGTCTTAATCTCTGATAAAAGCTGTCTTGCTTGTCTGGCACAAAATCTGGAGAGTAACGCGGTACTATGCAAGCGACCATTGTGTCTGCGATACGCAGAGGTAACGTGGGGGTCTTGGCCCCTGGTAATCCTTTCAAAGCCCTACGGCATATAACCAGCTTCCCAGTTAACTGAGAATTGTGCCTCAGCCCAGCTTTTTAGCCAGCTGCAAAGGCAAAATGAAAACTTGTTCAAGCCTTTTTTTTTCTTTTTTTTTTTTTTTCCTTAAAGGTTATGTCAGTACATTCTCTCTCACTGTTAGTGGGGGTAAATTTGTGTAGTTACAGCTCAGCTGATGCTTTGTAAGATGCAGGGTGTAGCCTGTGTGTCAGAAAGTTCTTTTAGTGGTTGGTGAGATGAATTCAAGTCAGAAAAAGAGATTTTCTGTGTCTTTCCACCAAATACCAGGTTGCTTCACCTCCCTGTGCTTTAAGGGCATCCAAAGGTGAAACTCTCAAAAGAGAGTTTTCATTTATAGGTTGCTTTACGACAAGCTAGTTGCTTTGATTTTTACTTCTCTCTCCTCTGAGCTACGCACAACACTGCCTTTGAATTGTCCTGTACCCTTGGGCAGTTTTCGAATATTTCTGTTCTCTGGACAACTGCAGATTCCATGGGACTGAAGGTAGGAATGTGTCTCTGGGCCCAGACAGCTGCACCGCTCTCCTGCCATTAGAAGGTGACAATATCACGATTACAGGAATGC